AAGCCAACAGTCTAGGGCTTGGATCTCAGTCCTGATACTATCGTTCACAGCTGTGTGGCTCAGTCATGTTCTTTCTCTCCGCCTAAGGTTGAAGGATTTTTTTTAATTGAGGTAAAATTGGGGTGCCTGTGTGGCTCGTTCGGGTAAGTGTCTGACTTTGGCTCAGGTCATGATCTGACGGTTCATGAGTTTGAGCCCTGCGGCAGGCTCACTGCTGTCGGCACAGAGCCTACTTCAAGTCTTCTCTCTCTATCCCTCCTCTGCTCCTTCTCTCTCTCTCAAAATAAATAAATAAACTTTAAAAAGTGATCTTTAAAAAAAAGCTCTTCAGGGGCGCCTGGGTGGCTTAGTCGGTTAAGCGTCCGACTTTCGCTTAGGTCATGATCTCACGGTTCGTGGGTTCGAGCCCCGCGTCGGGCTCTGTGCTGACTGCCAGCTCGGAGCCTGGAGCCTGTTTCAGTCTGTGACTCCCTCTCTCTCTGACCCTCCCCTGCTCACGCTGTCTCTCTCCCTCTCCTAGAAATAAATAAAACATTTAAAAAAAATTTTAAAAAAATAATAAAAAAATCTCTTTAAAAATATAAATTGAGGTAAAATTCACGTTAACATTCAACTTACCATTTTATTTTATTTTTAAATTTTATTTTAATGCTTATTTATTTTTGAGAGAGAGAGACAGAGCATGAGCATGGGAGGGGCAGGGAGAGGGGGAGACACAGAATCCAAAGCAGGCTCCAGGCTCTGAGCTGTCAGCACAGAGCCCGATGCGGGGCTCGAACCCGTGAACCGCAAGATCATGACGTGAGCCGAAGTTGGATATTTAACAGACTGAGTCATCTGGGCGCCCCTCAACTTAACCATTTTAAAGTGTATACTGCTGTAGCATTTACTATATTCGCCACCATCTTTACCTACCTCCAAAGCATTTGTGTCACCCCAAAAGGAACCCTGTACCCCTCAAGCAGCCCCTCCATCCCCGTGGCGACTACCCATCTGCTTTCCATTGGGTGTGTTCCTTCACCTCTGGGAGATGAGGAAGACACTTGCAAGCAGACACGCCCTCAGCACAATGCCTGGAGCCCCCACCCTACCAGATGGACCCGGTGCCCCCTGAGGGCAGAACCCAGTGAGGGGGAGGGCAGGCCATGGGACGCAGTTCCCCACTGGGGAGGATTCCTGCCAGGAGGAGCCACAGAGAGTCTGAGCTGTAGGAGGCCATGGACAGCGGGGCTCAGCTTGGGAACTGGTAGAGGTGAGCTCACGGCTGGTCCTGGCGGTCATTGACCTGGACAGGGACAGAGCAGCGTCAGCCCGCTAGGAATTTCATGACTCACTACATGTCCTGGTGCAGGCAGGGGTGCAGACAGCCCTGGTGATTGGAGGGGGTGGGCAAGGCTCATTGGGAAGAATCGCCAAGGGATGGAAGCAAGATGCAGAGAAAAAAGTCAAAGCCAAGCCAAATTAATAAACAAAACCCTCAGATATGATGCTATCAATATTTCATACCTACCTATCCATCCATCCATCCGTCCTTTATCTATCAACCTATCATCTACCTACCTACCTACCTACCTATTATCTATCTATCTCTCTATCTCTCTATCTCTCTATCATCTATCCTCTCTCTGTCTCTATCTACTTAATACATTTCTGAATCACCATAGAGAGTGGTCTGGCTGGAAAAGATCGGAACACTATGGGCAGTACCCTCACACACAACTACACCACAAGCAAAGAGAGGGCTTCACAATGTCTGCCAAGTTTTATTATTGTTATGAAAAATTTCACACATGTATAAAAAACATTAAAGTATAGCAAATCTGGGGCACCTGGGTGACTCAGTCAGTTAAGCGTCTGACTTTGGCTCAGGTAATGATCTCACGGTTTGTGGGTTTGAGCCCCGTGTTGAGCTTTTCACTGGCAGTTGGAGCCCACTTTGGATCCTCTGTCCCCCCGCCCCCGCCCCTCCCGCACTCACACACTCTGTCTCTCAAAAGTAAATAAACATTAAAAAAAAAAAAAAAAACATTAAAGTAGAGCAAACCTGCTTGTACCATCCCCTGCTGGCCCAGAAATCACATTCCATCTATTTCCCCTCCACACACACCATTTTTTGGGGAGGGGCGCTGGGTATTTTTTTATTTTTATTCTTGTTCTATTTTTCCTAAAAATTTTTTTAATGTTTTATTTATTTCTGAGAGAGAGAGAGAGAGAGAGGCAGCGTGAGCAGGGGAGGGGCAGAGAGAGGGAGATACAGAATCTGAAACCGGCTCCGGGCTCTGAGCTGTCAGCACAGAGCCCAACACGGGGCTCAAACCCACTAACCCTGAAATCATGACCTGAGCCAAAGTCGGATGCTCAACTGACTGAGCCACCCAAGCACCCATCTTGCTCTGTTTTCCTAAAACCTTTTATTATGGAAATATCCAAACATTTATTAAAGTAGAGATGCTCACACAAGGAGCCCCACGCATCCACCACCCTGCTGGGAATATTTTAAGGCAAATCCCAGGCATTTCTGTCATTTCTCAGGCAGAGCCCGTGGGGGGGTGCCTCTGGCCGGTAAAGACATTGTGTCCTGGCTTTTATGTAATGCTGGGCCATTATTATACTGGGTCGTTATTATATCTACATCTGCATTTTCATGAGACTCTCTGCAAGTGTTATTCCCATTTCACAGGTGAGGCACCAGAATGAAGTCATTCACTGAAGGTCCCGTGGCAAGTATGTGTCAGAGCCAGGACCCAAGGGACTCCAGTGTCCCCTCCTTGACTTTTGTGCTGGGTGCACCCTGGGATTTCATTTCAGAAAGCCTCTGCAAGCCTCTGCTCATCCGTGGTGGGTGCGGGAGACTCCCAGAGGCTGCTGGGCTGGGGAGAAGGGGTCTGGGTCTCTGTGGCTCAGGACCCTCACCTGGAGAACTGGATTTGGGGCCAGCTGGGCGGCCCTTCCAAGCGGCCTCATTTCCCTCCCCAGATCAGGCAGGCGGCACAAGGTGGCCAGCCCAGGAGCAGCTCTGGTTTAGTTCCCGCCAAGCACTCCGTTCACCCCGTGCCATGCCCTCCTTCCAGGGCAGCTCAGGTGACACCTGGGCTCCTGTGGGGCCCTGGGACACAGTGACCGTGTTCCTGTCCTTCCCCAGAGGGACCCGAGGCAGGGTCTGCAGACAGCACCCTGTCTGGACACAGAGGTGCCCATCGTAATCGAGACCTGGGGAAGGCGTGGACCTCACTCCCACCTCTGGCCTGACTGAGAGTCAGGAGCCCCCACCTGTGGACTCCCTCCTGGCCTCAGGGCTGCAAAGCTGTAGGAAGGGGCCTTGGGGCCAGAGAGGGGAGCTGCGGGCAGGAGGGAGGTGCTGGCCAGGCCTGATCCTGGTAGGCGGGTCCCAGCACACTCAGCACTGCTGCCAGCGCGTTGTCGGGCACCCCACAGCCTTCTGTAAGTGCCTACAGCTATTCATCGCCTCTCCTCTGAGCCTTGGAAGTTGGCCAGAGGTTTGGGGTCTTTCTAATTACAGGGAGAGCTTCCCGGGGACTGGAATGGGTCCTCAGGGAGGGACAGGGCCAGTGTCTGAGCTCCATGCCCCCAGGGGCCCTCAGGCCATTCTGAGATGGGGGTTTCTCTTCTACAAAATGGAAACTGAGGCTCAGAGAGGTTAAGTAACTTGCCTAAAGTCACATAGCCAGTGAGAACCCTGGGTTTTGAGCCCAACAGAACGTCACAGTGAGAAAGTTTGGATGTTCCGGCTGTTGAGGAATAGGTTTTGTGGGAGGGGAGGCTATGGTCACTGTCAGTAAACCCCATTTGAGCCACAATGGTGAGAAGGGAACCCCCCCCTTCCCCATGGAAGATACAATATCCCTGGAGGAGTTTGCCTGGGGTGGGGTGGGGGAGACACCGTGCAGACCAGGAGGGGAGCTAGTTCAGTGCTCTCTGCCTTTGGCCTTGAGACCCTGTGGGCAGCCTGTGGTCATGCTGGCATTCCAGGGGCCCGCTTGGCATGTGGGGAATGTCCCAGCAAAAGTCCTGGCCTTAGAAAAGGGAAGTGCTCCTAGAAGGGGGAGGCATAGTGGGGAGGTGTCTGCAGGGACTGTCCCCTTTGAGGGAGGAGGGTAGAGACCTGGGGTCCTGAAGGAGGAGGGCTACTATACCTTCCAAATCCCTTCCAGTGGGCCCAGCTCTGCCCGGTATGAAGTGGGAGCCTGGGGGTAGAAAGTGAATTGTGCAATGGTCCTGGGGCCGCCACCTGGACCCCACTGTTCAGGCTGCATCCCACCAGCCACCAGCCACATAAAAGGGTACGCTAATCCTGCACGGCTCACCCCACTGCCTGGAAGACCCGGACCGGAAGCTCCTGCAGTGCTAGAATGAGAACAGCCTCAGTTGTCTCTGACACTACCTGGAAGAGCTATTTTGGGCTAGCGGGCAGGGCTGGGTGGTTGGGCCACCGGAAAAGTCTGGGTGGCCTTCAGGACAGTGTCTTGCAAGACCCGAGTTTGGTGAGTTGGGGGTGTGCACCCACCCCTGTTTGCCCACTGGTCCTCTTGTGGGGATGTGAAGGCGTCTCATTCCTTCAGAGCTCTGCTCTAAGGTCACCTCTTCGGAGCAGTCCCCGGACCGCCTCCACCCAGTACTGATGTGTTCTGTGGACTCTGCGGTCTCTGTCACAACCTCAAACCCGGGGCCGTCCTTCCTCCCTTCTAGGCTTGGGATGGGGTGGGGCGGGGGGGCCTCCGAGGGGTCCCGACCTCTGAGTGGATCTTCATGCTGCGGCACTGCGGGGGTGGGACCCTGGCACTGGGGGGAGTGGCCCGAAGTGAGGGCGCTGCAGAGGCCGGCCGTGCAGAAGGGGCGGGGGGGCGCTGGGAGCAGAGCCTGCCACCCGCGCCCCTCCGCGCGCTCCCTGAGCCCCCTTCCCCTGCTGAGCCTCGGGGCGGGGCCGGGGCGGGGCCTCGCGGGGCTGACGTCACCCCGCCTAGAAAGGGGCTCGCGCGCCGCGGGCCGGCTTTGTGGAGCGCTGCGGAGGGTGCGCGCCGGGCCGCGGCCGCGAACAAAGGAGCAGGGCGCCGCCGCGGGGACCCGCCACCGACCTCCCGGGCCGCGCCGGGGCCCTCCCGCCCGCCGCCACCATGACCGCCAACGGCACTGCCGAGGCGGTGCAAATCCAGTTCGGCCTCATCAACTGCGGCAACAAGTACCTGACGGCCGAGGCGTTCGGGTTCAAGGTGAACGCGTCGGCCAGCAGCCTGAAGAAAAAGCAGATCTGGACGCTGGAGCAGCCGCCCGACGAGGCGGGCAGCGCGGCCGTGTGCCTGCGCAGCCACCTGGGCCGCTACCTGGCGGCGGACAAGGACGGCAATGTGACCTGCGAGCGCGAGGTGCCAGGCCCCGACTGCCGCTTTCTCATCGTGGCGCACGACGACGGCCGCTGGTCGCTGCAGTCCGAGGTGCACCGGCGTTACTTCGGCGGCACCGAGGACCGCCTGTCGTGCTTCGCGCAGACCGTGTCGCCGGCCGAGAAGTGGAGCGTGCACATCGCCATGCACCCGCAGGTCAACATTTATAGCCTGACCCGCAAGCGCTACGCGCACCTGAGCGCGCGGCCGGCCGACGAGATCGCCGTGGACCGCGACGTGCCCTGGGGCGTCGACTCGCTCATCACGCTGGCCTTCCAGGACCAGCGCTACAGCGTGCAGACGGCCGACCACCGCTTCCTGCGCCACGACGGGCGCCTGGTGGCGCGCCCCGAGCCCGCCACCGGCTACACGCTCGAGTTCCGCTCTGGCAAGGTGGCCTTCCGCGACTGCGAAGGCCGCTACCTGGCGCCGTCGGGGCCCAGCGGCACGCTCAAGGCGGGCAAGGCCACCAAGGTGGGCAAGGACGAGCTCTTCGCCCTGGAGCAGAGCTGCGCCCAGGTCGTGCTGCAGGCGGCTAACGAGAGGAACGTGTCCACGCGCCAGGGTGAGTGGGGACGCCGCCCCCCGCCTCTACCGGTCGGTGCACAAAGCGCACCCCACCCCCGTACCTCCAGCCTCCCGCCCTTTCTCGCCGGCGGCGCTGCTGTAATCCCTAGTGGCGTCCGGTGCGCCCCCGCTAGGCGCGTGGGCCACCCCGCCTCGTTGCGGGAAGTGCGCCGCTCGGGCCCGGAGGAGGGGGCGAGGGGTGGGGCTTTGCCCATCCTCGCGCGCCGCTGCACACCCCCGCCCCGCGTTGGCCTGGGGCTCCCTGGGCCCCACGTAGGCGCCGCCCTAGGTGCCACCCTGCGAAACCGGCCCCCCCCCCCCGCAACTCCCCACGCGCTCGGATCCCGCGGATCGCCCTGCCCAGCCCTGGGGGGCAACGCCCATCCCCCTCTTTCCTCGTGCCCCTGCCCGGTCAGCTCGAGGGCGAAGGCGAGGGTAGCTACGCGCGCAGGGCACACCCCCAGCCCCCCACGGCCCTCCCAGCGCAGGCGGAATGGGGGAGCCTTTGATCTCCGTGGGGTGCGCCGCCACCTTCCAGCCCTCCGGGCCTTTCTCCACCCCCACTTTCAGCCCCGAGGGGTCGACCTCTGCCGGGGGGTGCGTCCCTTGTGTCTGCCCTTCCCCCCAGCCCCTCCTCCCGCGTCTGCCCTGCGCTCGAGGCCGCGGCCTTTGTGAGCAGGGGGGCGGGCTCCTCCAGAGGGCCCTCCCTCGCCCCCTTTGTCCTGCTCGGTCTCTGCAGATGGGAAAACCAGATGCGGATGGGCGGGGGAGGGGATCGGTTTTCTGAGGCCTCCCCCCCCGCCACCCCTCCCCCCGCCGCCCCCGGGCCTAGTGGCCGGGTCCGGAGCCTCTCCTGGAGGCGGCCTCCCTCCTTGCGCCCCGGTCCCGGGACGGCGTGGCGCCGATGGCGCCCTGCCAGACACCCCGCCCTGCGCCTGCCGCGCGTCCAGGGTCCAGTGCGCTCTGCTCTTGCGGGCGTCCGAGGGCGGACTTAACGTGAGCCGAGAGACCCTAGGCTGGCTCCCTCGGGAGGCCCCCTACCCTCGAATGAACCCATCCCCAAGTGTCCCGCCTGGAACAATTGGCTGCAACCCGATGCGTCCTTTCCCGGGCCTCCTGCTGGCCTGGCCATTTCCTACCGGCCTGCGCGCCAGAAGCGAGCCCCCCTCTTCCCTTCTTAGATTCTTCCCCCTGGGCGGTTTCTCTTCCTTCTGGCGCCCTCTTCCCTCCTTTGGCAAGGAAGACAGTTGGTTCTTTGCAGCCAGAGGCCCCACTGGAGGGACCTGTGGGGGTCTGGCTCTACCGAGTGGGAAGTTGGACCCCAGCCTCTGGAGATGGCTGGATGGGAGCCCACTCGGTGGCGTCCTCCTGGTAGAGTGGCCTTCCCTGCCTGCCTCCTGATAGCCACCCTCCTGACTGGGCTGGGACTGTGGAGAGGGGCTTGCAGCCCCTTGTCAGCAGGGTGGAGGCCTGGATGCGGTAATGGCTGGTTTGTGCCTGGGTTTGCTGGTTGATTTGGGCAGTAATATTTCAATGGTACAGATGAGCCGGTTTGGCCCAGAGAGGTGAAGCTGTTTGCCCAAAGTCACACAGCAAGTTAGCAGCGTGCAGAACGGGGTCAGTCTGACTACAGAATAGGTGCTTTATGGAACCCCGATACCTCCCAGCCTCCAGGGCACAATGGGCCTCCCCTTTCTGGTCTCACACAGTGTAGGGAGGGCGGGCCTCCTCACCTCTTCAGTAGACGTGGAACCCCTACCAGGTGAGACGTGTTGAGGCCTGAGGGGTGAACAAATGAGTGAACGAATGTGTCTGGACCCCTCCCTGTTGTAGCTAATATTCTTGTTGGGACATGATCCCAGAGGTGTCAGGCAAAGACCTGGGAGGTCAGAAAGTACATCGGGACCCCAGATTAGATGGGGGGACGACTTCTGAAGAGGACACGTGAGCTGACCTGAAACAAGGTCGCATATATCAAGTGTGTGGAACAGTGGTCCGGGCAGCAGGCACAGCTAGTGCAAAGGCCCTGAGGCAGGAAGTTGCAGAAAGCCCAGTATGGCTGGGAAGGAGCTTGTGAGGTTGGTAGATGGGACTGAAACAGCCAGAGGGGCCACCATGAGGAAAACCTCAAGAGCAGGTGGCCTCGCCCTCACCCTCAGGCTCAGGAAGAGCAGAGCGAGCCTGGGCAGAGGCCCTCTCCTCTTGATGAAGCTTGCTGGCAGCATCATGGTGTGATTCAGACTGATGGGGCAGGGGGAGCCGGAAATTGGGCCTGGAGAAGGGTTGGCTCATCTGTGAGTTTAAAGGTGCATGGAACTGGGGGAGGGGTCTTTGGGGGCTGAGATTGGGGCTCTTCTGGCCTCAGATCTTGGGGTCCTCCTGTCGTTCTCGTGTCAGCTGACCTCGGGGCTTCTTGGTGGGATAGGGGATGGCCAGAGGACCCGGAGCGGTTTGGGGTGGGGGGTGTGTCTGCAGAGGCCATTTTGGACAGGCCTGCGTGGCAAGGAGGCGGGTGTCTGGGCTTCGGACGACACATGCTGGGAAAAGCCAGCCAGGAAGGAGGAGGATCCTGGGCTCAGCCTGTAGTGGGATGTGAATCACTGCGGAGGGCTTGCACAGGCCTGGCCTGGCGGGGGTGGGGTGCTCCCTGCTGAAGCTGCAACCCGCCCACCAGCCTCAGTTTCCTCATCTGTCAGGGCTGCCCGGGGCCAATCCTTTGAGCCAGGCTTTGTTTCTGGGAGGGGCCCATATTGGCTACCAGGGAGTGGGGTCCTGGAGCCCGAGGCACATGGCCTGTGTCCATCCCAGAGGACCTGGCCTGCATGGGGCTGGAGAATGGCAGGGTCTCTGGGGGAGCAGCGCCTCACTCCCCAGTGGGGAGTGCTCCTCGGAAGTCTCGCCTGCCCTGGATGCCGGCCACACCCTGGGCTGTGCCTCACTGAGGTCCCCACTTGGTCTCACCGGCCAGCTGTGCCCTGGGGCTTGAATGCTCAGGAAGTGCCCTGTCCCAGCCACTCAGGGCTACTCAGAGGCAAGGCCAGCTGGCTGGCTGAGAAAGGGCTGGTCAGGCTGGGCTTTGCAGGATGTGTAAGAGCTCTCCCAAAGCGGCAGGACATTTCGGGCAGTTCAGGCCCTTGTTCTTGTGCAGGGATGGAGGCGGGATCTAAAGTGGTCAGGTGGTGGTAAGAGGGACCGGAAAGTGGGGTGGATGTGGTGGGGGAGCTGAGGCCGCAGATGCTTTCCGGTCCCTTCCCCTAATCTGAATGGGGTGGTGGGGACAGGTCAGGCGAATTTGGGGACTGTTGGGGGTGAGGGGGATGGGGAGCCCTCTCTGAGGCACCTTAGAGAATGGCTCCGAGGCTGGAGACAGGAAAAGCCAAGGCAAAGGGCCGGGGGGGGGGGGGGGCGGCAGGCAGGAGACATGCCTCTTTGAGCCCCTGCATTTGCCTTCCGGGGCTCCTGCGGGTCTGTGACTCAGGTTTTCTGTGTTGCTGCTGCTGTTGATGAAAAGAAAAATCCCGAAGAAAACCCTGTTCCCATAGTAACCCAGCTCTAATTAGAGACTCCGAGACCAAGTGGGGCCTTTCCCGTCTGGTCAGGGCCTCAGAGCCCTGGATGTTGGGGAGATGAAGCCCCCTCCCCGCCCCTTCCTTTTGGGGTTGGAGGGCCTGGTGTCTCCTTGGCACCAGGCCCTCGAATCCTTCCCTCCTCTCACCGCCCCCCCCCCCCGGCAGAATGGAGAGACCCTGTTGATAGGCAGAGAGAGAAACCGAGGCTGAGTGAGGGGGAGGCACTTGCCCCAGGGTGCCTGGCCCCCACTTTGGGTGACTCCCCCGCTGGCCGTGGCCCTTCCATCAAGCCAGTTCCCAGACTCCACACAACCAGCTGATGGGGTCTGAGTAACCCGGTGGCTGGTGGCAGCTGTGTGCCCCTGGGTCGTGAAGACCCCAGCAGAGCCTCTGGACTTCCTGTGTTACCTCCCTCAACTTCCTGTGTTACCTCCCGCAGGCTGGGGGGTGCCTGGTCCATCTGCAAGGCTGTGTTATTAACATGAGCCCTTGGAACCCGCATATTTGACTTCTAACCCAGGTCCCTTCTGTGCCCCTCCTCTGTCTTTCCTGCTGCTGGAACGCGCCCGGAGTGGCTTTTCCTCTCTATTCCCTCCTTCCCAGCGGCCAGCGCAGGCACCCTGGGCAGGTGGTGCCCTGTGGCAGCGGGCAGGCTCCCAGGGTGCTTTCCGCAGCAGTGGGGGTGGGGCAGGTTGGCCAGCTTTTGGGGACTTCAGTCTGGAGTGGTGCTCCTCCCCAGAGTGGCCCTAGGATGGTCCCGTTCTTGGTGGCTCGGATACCCCAGGGGCCCAGTCCCTGGTGACCCTCATCCTCACCCAGTGCTTTACTGGGGGCATGGATCGGGCTCATTACCCGCCTCCCGGCCGCCAGCAGATCCGACATCAGGGCTGAGGGGGCCCAGTGGGCCTGCAGGGTGGAGCCCAAGGGGCTCCTAGAGGATCTGATTCAGGGCCCGGGTCTGCCCGTCCACAGAGACGGCATGGCGGAGGCCCGTTTGCCACCTTCCCCTCCTCAGGGCCACCAGCACTCATTGCCTTCCCTCTGGGTGACCTTGGATAAGGACATACTGCCTCTCTGCCTCAGTTTCCCTCTTTGTGGAGGTGAAGGTCCCCTCCCCCTGGCACTGATGTGGGTTAAGACAGGCTCACACCCTGGGCACCTGGTTGGCTCAGTCGGTTGAGTGACCGACTTCGGCTCAGGGCATGATCTCACCGTTCCTGGGTTCGAGCCCGTGTTGGGCTCTGTGGTGACAGCTCTGAGCCTGGAGCCTGCTTCAGATTCTGTTTCCCTCTCTCTCTGCCCCTCCCCCAACTCATGCTCTCTCAAAAATAAATGAACATTAAAAAAAAAAAGCTCACTCACACCCCTCAGGCTTTCCGCTTGGTGGTGGAGAGCTAAGGTGGGTTGCGGGGGCTGGGAACCAGGTTCCACCATCCACCAGCCTCCATCTGCTCCTCTGAGGGGACACCTACCACCCCCACTGATGTGGTCTCTTCCCTAAGGTGTCGGGACCCACACGGTGACACCCTTGCAGACCCCGAGCCTGGGCAGCCAGCAGACTGGGGCGGAAGTCTCTGCTATTGTGTTCTGTTCTGACCACGTATCTACATCCGGGCTGCGGGGGTTGGGGGCACTAGAAGCCCCCTCTGGCCCCATCAGCTGCTTTAGGGACAGGGAGACGTGTGGGAAGATGGTCCTAGATGCCTTCCAGACCGAGGTGTGTGGCAGTTTGAGGTGGAAAAAATGCATGTGTCTGCAGGGGGCAGGGGGGTGTCCCTGCGCCATTCCCAGTGGGGACATGTGTGACTTCACTTTTACACGTTTATGAGTTTTGTAAGTTTTCTGAAAGGAACGTGCGTGCGCTCTTCCGTTTCACTGTTCACTGTTACACACACAGTACACTATACTGATTTCCCCCAGACGCCGTGTCCCACCGTCTTGCTCCGTCTGTCCCATTGGTCATTGTTTTTGGTTGTAGTTAAAGCAAATCCCTGATGAAATGATGGCATTTCATCTCGAGGCTTTTGCATCTGAAAAACAAGGCCATTTTCTTACATAACCAGAATATGATTAACAATAATTAATCCTGGGGCGCCTGGGTGGCTCAGTCGGTTAAGCATGCGACTTCAGCCCACGGTTCGTGGGTTCGAGCCCCATGCTGGGCTCTGTGCTGACAGCTCAGAGCCTGGAGCCTGTCTTCAGATTCTGTGTCTCCCACTCTCTCTGACCCTCCCCTGCTCACACCGTCCCTCAAAAATAAATTTAAAGAAAACAACAATAATTAATCCTTAATATTGGATCCTGGGCCATATTAAGTCCCTCCTGATTGGGTCTAGAATGTGTTGTTGCAGATGATCTGTTGGGATATAGATGGTTCTACAATCGGAGAAGACCATGCGAAGACGGCCGGAGCCGGCCTTGCCTGGCCCCGCCTGGGGTCCTGGGTTCCGGCCCCTGGTGTGGAGGCTGGGGGGGTCTCCACAGCCCTGCCGAGTCGGCTGTGAGGGCAGGGCTGTGGGTCAGCCTGAATTGGGGGTGTGGGGTTCCCTGTGCCAGTCGGAGGCTCTCCCCGCAGGTATGGACCTGTCAGCCAATCAGGACGAGGAGACCGACCAGGAGACCTTCCAGCTGGAGATCGACCGCGACACCAAAAAGTGTGCCTTCCGCACCCACACGGGCAAGTACTGGACGCTGACGGCCACCGGGGGTGTGCAGTCCACTGCCTCCACCAAGTGAGTTGCCCCCCTGCCACGCCCAGAGCCGCCCTTCCGCTGGGGCAGGCCTCAGGGACCTGGGGCAGCCCCTCCCGACCCTGTCCTCTCACCCTCAGGAACGCCAGCTGCTACTTTGACATCGAGTGGCGCGACCGGCGGATCACCCTGCGAGCGGCCAACGGCAAGTTTGTGACGGCCAAGAAGAACGGGCAGCTGGCCGCCTCGGTGGAGACAGCAGGTAGCCAATCCCCGGGTCCCCGGAGGGTCCGCTCCCTCCTAGTCACTCAGCCGCACCTCCCACAGGCCTGTCCCGCGCCGGCTCTCACCCTAGGGCTGACTTGCTGGGTGGCCCCAGACGCCAGCTCTCCCTCTCTGAGCCGTGCCCCGTGGGGCTCACTGCCCTTCCCCCTTCCGGGACAGGGGACTCGGAGCTCCTCCTCATGAAGCTCATCAACCGTCCCATCATTGTGTTCCGCGGGGAGCACGGCTTCATCGGCTGCCGCAAGGTCACGGGCACCCTGGATGCCAACCGCTCCAACTATGACGTCTTCCAGCTGGAGTTCAGTGACGGGGCCTACAACATCAAAGGTGGGTTCTCCTGGGGGGGCTCCGGGGTGTGGCCCTGGGGATAGACATCCTGTGGCCGCCAGGCCCCTTTCCCTCTTCCCTGTGTAGGAGGGAGACTCCCCAGTGCCCCAGAGCGAGAGTGGGGAGGGGAGTGGGGAGGAGAGCAGGGTGGGAGGCAGGGCTCTGGAAAGGGTGGACTGTGGGACTTAAACCCTGGGTTGGGGAGAAGGGGCAAGGACCTCTATCCAGCAGGGGTGGGAGGGACACAGTTCCCGAAGCGGTGATGGCAGTGGGGGGGGGGGCCTGATGGGCCTTGTCCCCCGCCCCCCAGACTCCACAGGCAAGTACTGGACAGTGGGCAGCGACTCCTCGGTCACCAGCAGCAGCGACAGCCCTGTGGATTTCTTCTTCGAGTTCTGTGACTACAACAAGGTGGCCATCAAGGTGGGCGGGCGCTACCTGAAGGGCGACCACGCGGGTGTCCTGAAGGCCTGCGCCGAGACCATCGACCCCGCCACCCTGTGGGAGTACTAGCCTGCGCCCGGCGCCCTGTCCCCGCCCCGCCCTGCCCCTTCTGCTAATAACTCTCTTCTCCAGGCGGGCCCCGGCGGTGGAAGCCCCTTGCCTTTCAAACTGGAAACCCAGAGAAAACGGCGCCCCCACCTGTTGCCCCGTGCCTGGTCCTTGGAGGGGATCTCAGACCCCTCTGCCCTCTCTTCTCTGCCATGGGAGAGGCTGGCATCCCTTTTTTCTGACCTCAGACGACTCTGAGCCTTATTTCCCCAAAGTGGCTAAGGAGAGTGGGGGCCTGGGAGGCCTTCCTGAGCCCCTGGGCCTGGTGGGGTGTGTAACTGGAATCTTCTGCCCCTTACCAAGAGCCTCTCCCCGCCCCCCCCTCCCCGGGAGCACCACCCCTGAGGCAGGGGGAGGCTGTAGTGGGGGGAGAAGGTGAAACCGGCGTGTGCCGGCTGCTGTCCTCTCTGCACCGCATGGGCCTGCCTGCCGGCCTGCCGCTCTCGTCTGGGTGGTCTTGTCTCTCATCTTTCACCCTGGCCTGACTGGAAGCAGAAAATGACCAAATCAGTATTTTTTTTTTTTTTTTAATGGAACATGATTGCTGGAGGCGCCCAGGCAAGCCTAGCGGCAGCCACGAGTGGTCTTCGAGGGGTCTGGTGGGGGATCTTCAAACGGCATCTCCGGGCCTCACAGCCCTACTTGCTTGCTGGCTGTGTGTGTGTTTTGGGGGGGGCGGTGCTTCAGGGTGCTTCCCTGAATCCCAGACCTGCCCCTGCCTCCTTGGGACCTCTCGCTCGCCCTCTCCCTCCCCCTGCCCGGGCCTGTGTCCTCCATCTGGTGGTGCTGAGCCCCCCACCGCCTCAGCCAGAGCCCCCGGGGTGATTGGTGCTCCCTGTCCGACTGGACTCCTTGGGTCTCCGGGTGGGATGAAGCTGGGCGGCACCCTCTGCCGGGAGCCCCCTGGGGAGCTCCCAGCCCCGCCTCCTGCCAGCCCCTCCCTCCCCCCTGTTCATCTCTGCCATGCATCTCACTCTGGGTGTCTTGGTCTTTTATTTTTTGTAAGTGACATTTGTATAACTAAACGCCCATGATAGTAGCTTCAGACTGGAAAGCAAAATAAAACAATGCGTGTGCAGCCCTGAGCTGGCCTGTGTGTGTGTTGGGGGTGCAGGAGGGTGGGGCGGGCTGAGCCCAGCGGCCTATGGGTGGTGTGAGCATCCTGGATGCCTCCAGGAGTGACAGAGGGCCCTGCGAGGGACGGCCTCTTACCCCAGAGGTCTGCCTGCGGTAAGACCAGTGTCCCAAGCACATGGCAGGAGCTCCTGGGTGGGGAGGTGGCTGAATCTGGTCCCACAATTTCCTGCCTGGAACGGGCTGACACTGTGAGCCGGGCCCGTGCACTGCAAGCCTGTGTGCTTAGGAGGCAGAGATCAAGGTAACATGAACCCACAAGTCCAGCTTCCTCCTGCCTCCACAGGTGCCCTTGGAGGATGGGGGCCCTTGGCCCCCATTCATATACTGCAAGAGGCCTTGTGTGGATCCATCCACACCGCCAAACGCTAGGCTCAGGCCTTGTAGGGCCTGGGATTTCGTGGTCCGAGGGCCCCTATGAGGACGGGCACGGATAGAGAGGGGTGCAGGCCCTGGAAGCAGGCTGCTGGATGGGCGCAGCTGGGGTGTGGGGGGGGGGGGGGGGGGGGGGGGGGGAGTGGGGAGAAAGGATGGGTGACTATAGAGAAACTGGGCCCCTAGGGTCAACCCTGGAAGTTGGGAGACTCTTCTCCATCTGGCAGACCAGAAGCTGATGAAGTGTCTGGCCCTGAGCCCACCCTGCGTTCTCGACCCCTGGCAGACCCCACCCTGGCTGATCCTGCCAGGAGACTGCAGTATCTCAGCCCAGAGCTTCCTAAGGGTAGCGCTAGTTCCCATCTTACAGAGGAGAGGACTGAGGTCCAGAACTGAGGTCCAGAGCAGTCAGGCACAGCCTTGCGAGTGGAGCATGGCACCCTCGTGGTGTCCAATGAGCAGACTGTGACTGCGGATGGATGGGGACCTGTGGGGGGCCAGGGCAGGGGGAAGGGGGAGGGGCTAACGCCGAGGGCTCAGCGGAAGCGCTGATTGGCTGCTGGTGACGAAACTGGGATGCCGGCGCTGTGATTGGTGGTTCCTGGAGGCGGGAGTCTTGAGATTGACAAGGGCAGATGGCAGCCACAAAGGGATGTTGGGGCCCCAGCGGGGTCCTGGCGACCGTCCCCCACCCCTGTTAAGGCCAGGCTGGAAGCCAGAAAAGTCTCAATGCCGTGGAAAGAACAGATGAACCTTCCGGAGCTAAGCTCTTTCAGACCATGGGGGAGGGGGGGAGGAAGAGGCCCTCTGAGAAGGGGGTGGGGGGGGGTGCAGGGGCTCCAGTTGGGCACAGTTGTAGATCCTGCTGGGTGAGGTGGTTCGAGCCCTGCCCACGGAGCAGGAATGAACTACCCTGGAATGACCCCAGGGTCCGCTCCGGGAATCAGAGCCTAGTCCGGAACCAGACAAACTAGGCGCAGATTCCAAATTGCATCCATTCCACAAAAATGGGCACCTGGCACACAGCTGCGCATCGTGGGGGAATGTGAGTGGCTGGGGCACGCGGTCTCACGGGGGAGATGATCACATCTAGGGAAAGAGGACATTACAAGGGACGGGAAGGACAGTCTGGGCAGAGGGAACAGCATGTACAAAGGCCCTGCAAGGGGGAAGCCAGGCAGGAGCGGGAGTGGAGCCTGCTTGGGTCCTCCCTGAAGAGTGGATTCGATCAAGGGAGGCTGGTTGTCTCCAGAGGCACCTGGAGGCAATGAGGCATCTTCCTGTAGATTCTTTGTGGAGCATGTTGGGGACCACCAGCCTCACTCCTGCACACCCAGGCTCCCCACTTCTGGGTCTTTCTGGGCCTCCAGGTCCCTTCTGTCAGAACTGACTCTGGGGCCCAGTATCGGATGCCAGAGCGGGAGATGCAGCTCTGGATCCTGCCAGAAAGACGTTCCTCAGTGTCTCCTCATGGACAAGGGCGTAGCCCCATCACATGTGATCCCGCGTACACATGGGCTTACGTACATGCATGGGCACATGTAGAGTCCTGTGCACACACAAACAAGTGCACACACAGACGTGAGCACAGACACACATTCCAGCTCCAGGGAACCGTGAGCTGTCCCTCTGGTCGGTGGGGCCTCTGAGCTTCCCAAGTGTGTCAGTAGCTCAGGCTCCTCCCATTTTTTAATTTTTAAAATGTTTTTATTTTTGAGAGAGACAGAGCGAGAGCGTGGGAGGGTCAGAGAGAGAAGGAAACACAGAATCCAAAGCAGGCTCCAGGCTCTGAGCTGTCAGCACAGAGCTAGACGCGGGGCTCAAACCCATGAACTGTGAGATCATGATCTGAGCCGAAGTCAGACACTTAAGCTGAAGTTGGACACTGAGCCCCCCAGGCGCCCCTCCTCCCCTGTTTCTGGGTAGATCTCAGTAGAGGACACTCCAGGGCCAGCTGTGCCCTACTTCGCTCAGGGTCAGACCAGCCTCTTCCAGAATTGGAGAGGTGACCTCCAGTGACCCCACACTGAATCATAACATGAGGCCGCAGAAGGATCTGGACTCTGTGGGGACCCTCTGTCCTCAGTTTCCCCCATTTGAAAAATGGGCGATTGGTTCCCTGGCAAGATTGTCCAGATGGAGGAGGGGCTCTGAGACCCCTGGGGCAGTGAAAAGAGAAGGAAACAGATGCGTCTCCTGGGGCAGAAGGAGGCCTGGAGAAGCCCCCCCTCCCCGCCCCGCCCCCGCAGGGAGAGGAGGGGCAGGGAGCGGGGCGGGGTAGAGTGGAGCATTTGGCCTGAGGCCCAAGCCTCTTAGTGGGGCCCCTGGCTTAACCAGGAAGCAGCTCATCCTCCAGGAGGTGTGAATAATCAAGACAGAAGTTGCACAGACTTGGAGGAGGGATGTGCTCTCCCCTCCCCCCGCCCCTCCTGGGACCCAGGCCTGACCCTCCGGGAGCAGAGGGGGAGGCCCACCTTCCAGGAAGCTGCTACTGGTACCAGGCATTGGCAGGTCCTCTGCAAGCGTTACTACTTTATCATTATTATTATTTTAAGAATTGAGGTAATAGAAGCATAGAGATGTCAAAGGGTGCCCGACCCCAGCCCTTCTCCCCCTGACCTGCCCTCTCTTCCCGCCAGGGTAACACTGTCTTTTACTCTTCCGGAAAACCTTTCTATTATGTACAGTATTCATACACAGCCCTTGCCATGTGCCGGCTACTAGCCCCTTATTAACGCCCTTAGTCCCTGTGATGGGCTGAGTTGCGTCCCCCTTAAATTCGTATGCTGAGGCCCCAACTTCCAATATCTCACACGGGATTGTGCGCGGAGACAGGGCATTTAAGGAGGTGGTTATAAGAGGTGGCTGAGGTGAGCCCCATTCCAAGCTGACTGTGGCCTTCTAAGAAGAGATTAGGAGACAAATTTGCAGAGGGAAGACCGTGTGAGGCCGCGGAGAGAGGCCCCAGCTGTGCTGACACCTTGATCTTGGACTTCTAGCCTCTGGAGCCAACAACTACTGTCCCCATCCATCCCAGCCCGGCAGGGTGGCGGTAAGCGAGTCCTGCTCCTCCCATTTATTGATGCAAAGACTGAGGCACAGGGCGGTTAAGTCACTTGCTCCCAGTTTGGGGTGCAGCTGGGATTTAGAGAGAGAAGCATAACCGGTTTGTACAGCACACAGACTCTGGTGGGATCGGTTCCCCCAGAAACAGACACACACTCACTGCCATGTGGCTTATTTGGGAGGTGACCCCAGGAAACAGGGAGGAAGGCACGTGAGCCTGGAGGAGGAGGAAGGCAATAGTGTGTGAGCACCTCGGGAGCCCAGGGGACCAGCATGCACCCCGCCAGCGGCCACGCGGTGCTCACCAGCCACTTCCTTAGCGGTTACCCTCCTGCACTTTGGGCTTTGTGGCCAGGCTGCAGCTGAGAGTGGGGGAAACTAGGGGGGCAGCCGGGATGGGGGGTGGTACGTCCCGGGTGCAGCAGGAGGGTGGGTGGGCAGGCCTGCGGTGCTCAGGCAGCAGCTCTGCGCCGGGCAGCGAGGGGCTATGTGGCAGGACCCCGTTGTGGTTCTTTTATTGTAATTCATTAATGAGATAATTTGAAACTGTGGTAAAATGCACTGGCACAGAATTTACCGTCGGCCCTGCTCCGGGTGTCCAGTTCGGGGGCATTAAACACATCCACCACCTCCATCCAGCCTCCGGAACCTTCCATCTTATTATTTAAAAAAAATTTTTTTTTAATGTTTTTTATTTTGAGAAAGAGAGAGACAGAGAGAGACAGAGAGAGAGAGAGAGAGAGAGAGAGAGACAGAGTGTGAACAGGGGAGGGGCAGAGAGAGAGGGAGACACAGAATCTGAAGAAGCTCCAGGCTCTAAGCTGTCTGCACAGAGCCCGACGCAGGGCTCGATCCCACAAATCACTGGATCATGACCTGCGCCGAAGTCAGATGCTCAACCAACTGAGCCCCCCAGGAGATTCTTTAGGGGTCAGTCCCTGGAAGGACAATTCTGGGGTCACCTGACATTTTGCTAGATGTGGCCTGGTCGCCTCCCCAAAGACACTCCCCAGCTGGGGTTACCCACCTTATGCTCCACCCACCTCCATGGAATGGCTCCTGAAGCATTTTGCCAGGCTGAGGTGAAACCTTGAGTTCTGAGGAGGCAGTTGGTACGAGCGTCACCCCGTGCAGGTTTAGGGGTTCGTCTGTGCTAATGGGGAGCACCTGGGCTGGGCGGGCCTCTCTACTGTGTCATCCTGCCTGAATGCCTTCCTTCTTCCCAAACCACTGGCAGGTTTGGGGGGTGTAAATAAAAGCCTCCACATCTCCCAGGACCCCAGACAGAGTCTCCCCCAAGAGTTGGTGGTCCCCAGTCTGCATAGCTGCAGATGGTGGCCGGCTGCTCTCGCCTGGCCCAAAGCCCCTTCCCCACCCCAGCTCTCGTCAGTGGACCCCAGCAGCCTGTCCAGGCAGCCTTCTCCTCCTTTGCTCCTCTGGCCTGCGGGTCCTAGGCCTCCCTATGCTCTCCTGTCCGCCTCCTCGACTCAGGGAGGCCACAGGCTCTGCT